ATGTGTGTGTGTGTGTGTATGTGTATGTGTTAAAAACTAAAGCAATGTAAATCATAGGATGAAATATTGTGTGAAATATAGCAAGTATAACTGATATATTACTAACATACCATGTAAAGAGCACCGCAGTGGCGCAGCATAAACGATTTTAATCTCCCAAACGCAGTTTCTATGAGATTCAGGTATGGTCTATATGGCGGGATGAAAAACACTCCCGCTCCCACGGATTCGATAAGCTCTACTACATCTGCGCAATGTATAGCAGTGTTAAATCACAATGCTCCGCGGCAAAGACCACGGATAGAGATAAGGCAGAATTTGTTGCCGGAAATGATTGTAGAAAGTCGTAGAGTCGTATGTCCCCATAGTTAGTGCTCAGGCCAAAAATCCAGATAGGTCGCTAGCTGCCAACACGCTAACACGGTTACCACGGTTACCACGTTCGAATGGACTTTTCGCGATTATCTTCTGTCCTTTCGGGCCATTGCCACGTTTCCGAAACGTTGAGCGAGCATCGCGGGATGCCTCGTCGACGAAGACCAATTGATTCATGTTACTATATACCTGTTCATTTAAAGTAAAAGAGATAGTCAGAGCACTGAAGAAATTTATTTAAGTATTTAGTATATTGATACTTCCCATAGACCATAAATAATAGTTAAGAACAAAATATACCTTACCCACGATAGACAGGTAAAGAAATCCAATTGTACTTCAAATGAAGCATATCTGACAGCCTTTTCCATTACCTGCCTCGTATACTTCAGGTCGAACTTCAATATGCGAAGTATAGTGGTATATGATATCGTATTTCCTCCATTGTCAAGTTGTACTTGTTTCTGGAGTTCATCGAGATGTATTGCTGGATTAGCTTTATGAATGGCCTCAACTTGGGCTATTAGTTCTTTGGTTCGCAACAAATCATCTCGCATCTTTTTTTGTTTGGTCACCTACACAGGACACCCGGTGTTTAGCCATGTTTTGACTATTCTACGTGTTGAACTCTCTGAAACTCTCAAGAATAATCGTATGTCATCGTAGGTAAGATGGTAGTAATACCAAGCGGAAATAACCAGCCAGGCTACATTCTCCGAAATCGTCATTATTGAATAACACTAGGACTAGGCGAGACGTGTGCGTAGTGTGATGTTTATATTCTCTATTTACTAACATCACGAACCAGACAAAGATGAACCACTTTAAAAAAAATATAAATTAATTATATCCGCCTACAATAAATATCGGGGAGATTGTTCACTGTCCAGGTTCTCAACTCTGGGAAACCGGGATACGTTTGTTCAGAACTTTTGTTTTTTTGCATCTTTATTTATTTATTTATTAAATTTAATACTGAGAGCCGATGGAATCAGCTTTAAATGGGATTTCTCTCAAAATATATAATTCTGAATAAATGAACCCGCCAAGGCATAAATCACTATTTCAAAAAAAAATTAATTATATATATGGTCTCCCATTGGCTTCTATTTTAAATATTTATTATTGGGCCAGGTCAATTTCCGCCACCTTCTCAACCCCGTTCCCTAGGTCTGCGGGAACCACCGCTGGGCTTAATTTAAATTTGTTTTTTTTTAAAGAAAAAAATACTTTGTATTTTTTTCATATTTCTATTTACATATTTAAAAAAAAATACAATGTTCAATTTTAAATTTTTGTATTTATTTTTTATAGAAGAAGAAGGCTATGTATATAGTTTTTTTAAATATGTATTTATGTACCTGTTTTTATCAAATAGCCTTCTGCAAGTTCTGCCAGTGCCTTTTAGTCTTTTACCTTCAATATACTCTCCTAGCTCCTAGTTTCCAATGTACTACTCTCATACAACAAATACTTTATTTATTTGTACTATGGCTAGGAACAACAAGTACATAGCAGATTGCAGAGTGCAGTTGCAGAGTGCAGACTACAGAGTTAAGGAGTACACTGTGTAGGCCCGGGTAGGCCCGGGCCCCGATGCTCCTCGTATACATCCCCGTCCCCCGTGTAGTCAACTAGTCGTACACATTACACATGACGACGCAGTCACATTACAATTTACATACTCCTTTATATATATATATATATATATATCTCTCTCTCTGTGAAGTCTCCCACTCTAGTAGAGAGAGAGAGAGAGAGAGAGAGTCTTCAGTGCAGAGTTCAGACTGCTAGTAGTAGAGAGAGTGACTACTACTAGTAGTAAATAGACACTCTAAAGAGAGTAGACTCTCCATGCTACCTCTCTAGTAGTAGAGTCTCTAAAGTCTGAAGGCAAATATAGAATAGAGAGAGACTAATTTACATTTGTGTATCATGTAATGTACAGTGGTCAGTAGATTGTAGTAGTCAGTATTCACTGCAGTATACTCAGAACAGTATTTAGTATTTCCCTGATAGTATGTAAATACATAGTCTGTAACTGTATATTGTACCACTGTAGCGTCTGTTTCTGTAGTTTGTTTCTGTAGTCTGCTTTGTGTAGACTCTAGTGACTAGAGTGATGAATAGTCAACCTCGGCACTCTGCAGAGTCTGTACTATGACACAGCCTGTTTTTAAATTTTTTTAAATTTTTGTCTGTACCTGTAATTTTACTAATTAGTTAATTTAGTATCAGGTACTATGAATAACCATGTGTGGACTGCAGAGTGTAGGCTGGTGTAGACTGTAGAGTGTAGTTATGGTGCAATTACCTTTATTTAAAAGAGAGTCGGCCAAATATATTTAAAAAAAAAATGCGAATTACACACCAAAAAAAAATCTGATTTCGCGAAATCGGGTTGTATGGTTGAATTAGGCTGGTTGAGAGGAAGCCAAAACTGCCCTAATAATTTTGGCCATTTTTGAAGTGGCCAATATATGGACCTGGGGCGGCCAATATATGGACCTGGGGTGGCCAACATTGACACTGCCCCTGCCCACATGTCTCAGAACTGATTACTGTATGTCTTTTAATAGTAGAAGTCTATCCTACAGAAAAGGCAACATGTTACAATGCGAGATCTGTCCATACAGAATGGATGATATTTTAATTAAAGCTGTCTCCGGGTTAAAGTGAAAAATAGAGCAGTACTTTAACTTCTGCTGGCACATTTCTTAATAGCCATCTTGGCGGTGATTATTTCATATACATTCTCAGATACACGTCGATGAGGAGTATATTTCTTTTTCGCAAACGCTGCAAGTTGCAAAGGAATACCCTTATCATAGCAATCGAGGTAACGATAGGCACCCCTCACAAAGCATCTAACTGTATCCAGTTTAACATTGTTCAGAGCTTCGATGACATGTTTTCGAAGGCCTGCCCACGTATCATCGCATTCTTCTCGCACCTCAAACTTGGCTCGGCCCCAATATCGCTCGATGGGGTTGCACTCGCAATGTAACTTCGGAATAAATACGCATATGTAATATTAATACTACTGGGCTGCACTGAACTTAATATCAATACTTCTGTGATTGCTGCACTGAACTCAAGGATAGCGTTTATGTGCCTGTCACACACATAAATATTCTTTTCGACCTGACGGAATATTATCAAAATCAATATTTTGACAGTTCGACTGATCTTATAAATGACCGGGTATGTCGATTTCTGACCTCAAAAGTCCAAAATTCGTACTGGAAGGGTGATTACTGAAGAAAGGGCCAACATTTTCCAAATCAGTCAGAATAAAATGTGTCCTTGTGATATTTCAGATCAGGTCCCCTGAGCATTTTCCGCTATGTATCAAACTCTCGAATCGGGTCATTATTTGTGCTCCTTGGGTCGAGACAGGAGGGGTCATTTCACATTTGGCCGACAATCTTTTTAAAAAAGGCAACTGCATCATACTCATAGGATTATAGAGTAGAGTTTTTAAACACATCGAGAGTAAACTAATAGTAACAACACATGTGTCAAGCACAGGAATTACTATTTACTGAATCAGAACTAGGGACAGGAGCTTGTATTTGTTTTTATGTTCTTTGTTAAAGCAAAATGTACATAGTGATTGTAGTCGACGATATTATAGATCGTATGTAATCGTTTACTCTTCGAATGTTTTATGTAATTAGTGTTATTGGTTTCTAAAAATTATATATTTTACATTTACGAGTAAATGTGTTTTACAATTATTTTGTGTTTAGCAGGCTATGTAATGTATATATTTTTCTGTAGAAGTAAAACTTGAAATGCTTTTATCTATTTATATTATATTATATTGAAACGTAGAAGATTACAAAACAGTCAGCTCAGTAGTTGGTTGCAATCACAATTCACAATGCAGACAATCAAAGTAGCCAGCGCTTTCGCGGTATGGGTCATGGCCTCCACATGTGCCCAGCCCATTTCTGAGGAGACTGTCTCGAATATACCATCAGCTTCATTAGAAACAGAAATAGCGAACACGACAGAAATTCCAATTATGTCGTCGATTCCTGACACACCGGTCGTGCAGAACGTCACCGAAGATCTTTGTAGTTGCTATGTAGCCGTGAACAGGATATGCGTTAACACAACACTGCCAGAAACATTGGCAGCAGCCGTAGAGGGAGATGTTGTATCTATATCCGGCAACTACGCAGCAAGCGAGCCCATGAATATATCAGTATCGTTAACACTACAAGGCATCACGTGCGGTGATAAAATATCGCAAATCACAACACTTTTCAAAACTGATACTCCACTTATACCCGAAAGTAGAGAAGCCTCGTCACAGAAGTATGCACTATTCAATATTGTGGCCGCATCCATTTCTGTTACTTTGCAAGACCTGAAACTGCAGCGAGGTCAGCATGATGCGGATTCGTACGGAACTGCTCTATATAGTGAATTTGGAATAGGATTGGAGCTGAAGAACGTGGAGATCTCCAATATGCGAGCTTTCTCACATGGTGGTAGCGCCGTGTACATTGCAACTGCTGTGGGGTCGGTGCACTTCGATGACCAAACTAAAATTATAGACAACAGTGTAGCCGACGGGGGATGTAACGAAGACGACGTGCTCGACCCTTACTGTCCGGCACCCAATGGAGGGCCTGATTTGCACCTGTGCCCGGATAGATGTTTCGGTGGTGGTGGTGCAGTCTGGATTGGATCGTGCTTCGGAGCTGAGACTGATGTTAATGTCAGCGCCAATTTTCACAACAACTATCACGAGTTTGGCCACGGTATGGGTGGCGCTGTATTTATGGACTGGGTCCAGTGCGAGGTCCACTTTGTAGGTAACTACACAAACAACACGTCATCCGATGGAGGTGCGATCCACATTGAGAGTATCCAGGAAGGGGGCTCGATCGAGTTCGATGGTCACTACGAGAATAATCAGGCCGTGGAAGGCGGATGGGGCGCTCGCGGGGCTGCCAATAGAGTGCGTGATATGGTTGATGGCAGCACTCTAGCCATCCGCGGCACTTACATCGGCAATCGTGCGGCCGGGCGGGGTGGTGTCATGGCACAAAACAACATTGACGGAACAGTCACAATGGAGGTCGTTGCAGAAGGCAATGTGGCGACGAGAGGATCGGCTACAAGTGTGCACGGGGTGATATCTGAGGCGTCGATATACACTCTGGCAAAGGAGTGTGTGTTCACTGATAACGAGGTCGAGGATGACACTCTAACTGATATCAATCTGTACAACGAACACGACATCTCAGAAGTCGAATTCAACGCCGACTACTACAACAAGGTAGACTATGTTGTACGCATCCAAACAGACACCCCAACAGACACCCAATAGCCACCGCCAACTTCAGAGAACACCAACTTAGTCCAGCTGCTGCCACAATCAGAGCTCAGTTTTATATACGTAAACGAATAAACAAACATATTAGTATATAGTGTATTTCAGTCGTTGCATCAATCAGAGCTCAGTTTTATATACGTAAACGAATAAACAAACATATTAGTATATAGTGTATTTTAGTCGTTGCATCAACCAGAGCTCCGTTTTAAATACGTAAATGAATAAACAAACTGATTAGTATATAGTGTATTTCAGTCGTTGCATCAATCAGAGCTTCGTTTTATATACGTACATGAACAAACAACCAGATTAGTATATAGTGTATTTCAGTCGTTGCATCAATCAGAGCTCCGTTCCATACACGTACATGAACAAACAAACAGATTAGTATATAGTGTAGTTCGGTCGTTACATCAATCAAAACTCCGTTCCATAAGCGTACATAAGCAAACAAACGTACTTGTATATAACATATTTCAGTTTTTTCTGCAGTTCGTGTTTATAAGCACGTGCCACAACGTCAAGACCTGCTCTATGTATCTGTTAATATCACTACAGATTCCAACCCGCGGATTATTAACTAAGTGGCTATATATTTATGAACCACCGATGAAGCAGCACACTGATATGAACAACCAATCATTCGCAAGCGATTCAAGTAGCCAGAGACGTGTGTACTCTCCGCATGGCTTATATATTGCCACCGGTTTAGCCTTTGCCTGCGTTCACAACTTTTATTAATGAGTGGGACAGGATTACTGGATGACTCCGATAGAGTTACAGTCACGTGCCAGATGGTCAGTCTTCCCACACTTGTTGCATTTCTTGGTGCTCTTGTTGGCACCTTTCCCTTCCATCTGTTGCAAGATGGATGAAAGTGAATGCATGAGCACATGTTGTTAGAAATAAGCCCAGGCAGCCGTAGCTCTGTTGGTGCTGGGACAGAAATAACAGTGATACATACTCATGGACACGTTGCTAATCTCGCTGCCAGTTGGAGGGTTTGCAATGGTCGATGCCATCTCCTCTAACTCCGAAACATGCCAACCAGCGAATACATACAATGGTGTGATGCATTTGAGGCCACGTTCATACATATATATAGATATATATATATATATATATATATATATATAGATAGATAGATAGATAGATAGAGAGAGAGAGAGAGA